CTTTCTGATTCCCAGAGTGGTTCTTGAGGTACTTGGAAACCTCAGATTCCTGCCCCCTGCAAGGGACCTGCGCTTCCCCTGAACACATAAAGCACTGCCACTGTATTAAAGCTAAACAAATACTCCACAGAGAATAGGGAGATATTGTTTGAGTGACAAAGGCTGATAAATCATTCTCTGGACGTTTTCCTCTTTGCTTGGCTTCTTCCCATTGATCCAAAGGAAATCGGTGGCACTTTGCATGTGAAAATCCATAACCCAAAAGTCCATGCATTGATGACTTTGAGCAAGCCGTGTTCTCAGGTAAAACACACCACTGGCCTTTGGTCTTCATCAGCATTGTTCGCTGGGGAGGAGGGTAAAGAAGGCCCAGGGTGATTTTTGATGTGGGGACAACAGAGCTGATCTGTGTGCTCGTGTCAAAGCAGCCCCCGGGCCCATCTTGGAGAAATGCACACCACGCACGTGTCACCCGTCCCCGATGCCGCAGCTCAATAGCTCTCAGGCTCCTGAGAACTGAGGGCAGATAGATAAACACATGGCATTGATGCAAATGATCCCTTCATGGACAGCTGGAACGTGGTGGGCACCTGAGGTTCAGGAGTCCAGCAGAGAGCTGAGGAGCTCGGCCTGTCTGCCCCACCTCAGACACCTGAGCTCCCCTTCCCTGAGAGAGGGATGGCAGCGCTTGCTGTGGTCTTGGCACATCAGTCTGACTTTCCAGCCTGAAGGCTGCATGTTTTAGGCCTGTTTTGGTTTGTTGACCCTGGCCAGAAGCTAAGCACCCAGAGAGCTGCTCATTTGCTTCCTCCCCACAGCAGGATGGGGAAGAGAATCAGAAAAGCAAAAGTGAGAAAACTCGTGGGTCGAGGTAAAGAAACAAAGCTGTGTGTGCCTGCTAAGGGAAATAAGGAATTCATTCACTCCTTCCCATCAGCAGGCACATGTCCAGCTGCTTCCTGCAGTTCAGGGCTTCAGTACACATGATGGATACTTGGAGAGACAAACATCATAACCGTGAACAGCCCTTCATCCTCTTTCCCTGAGCTTTTATTGCTGCCATCATATGGTCTGGAATATCCCTCTGGTCAGCTGGGATCAGCTGTCCTGGCTCTGTACCTTCCCAATCTCATGCCTGGGGGTGGAATGGGAAACAGAGAAATCCTCAGCACAATGCAAACACTGCTCAGCACTAACCAGAACACCAGTGTGTTATCAACACTGTTTTAGTCAGCAATCCAAAACACGGCACCATACGGGCTGCTGGGAGGAAAATGAGCTTCATCCCAGGCAGGCCCACTGCACCCAGAGAGCTTCGGCCCACAAAGCCTCCCTGTGCCTGGGGCAGCACTTTCTGTCTGCCATTGGTGAACCTCTCAGGGCTCTAAAATGCCACATACAGAAATAGGTACATCAGGATCCTCTTCCCCTGAAAATCTTCTTTTGATCCAAAGGGAGAGACAGCCTGAGGCTGGAGGGAAGAGCAAGGGGCCTAGAGAGAGCTCTCCTTCAGTGTAGGATAGGTACCAGGAGACCTTTGCTTCTCTTAGATGTCCTGAAGAAGGGCTGAGTCATTTTCCTTCCTTGTGCCTCATTTTCCCAGTGCCCAGGGCAGAGCAGCACTTGTGTCCCAGGGATTGGTGGTGTTGCAGGGGCATCAGGGAGGCTGATGGGCTGTGTAAAATCACCTGGTGCTGGCTCTGTTGTGGGGGTATTTTGTCACCCTTTCTCCGACCTTGTTTATCTTCGAGCTGCCTCTTCCACAAGATGTAACCTCCACCTGGATACAACCGATTTGGTTCAAGTTTCCCTGCAGATCTGTGCCACAAGATGTGATCTGAACCTGCACAACATATGGCTCAGATCTCCGTATTTCATATAAAATGGGACTTAGCTTCGTAATCCTGAACTAAACAGAAAGAGATGCAAGCAGAGCCAGAAGGGAGCATCACTGCCACTCTCCTGCCAGTTTTCTGGGTCGGCACTGACTTACACACATCTCTGCACAAGCGCTCGGCAGTCAGCCGCTCTCACCCACCAAAGCTCATTCCCAAGCATCCAGATGGGGACTGAGTCAGGTTTTAGCTGAACCACTTCCAGGTGGTGCACCAGGTAGCCCTGGGCAGACATTGCCTTGCGGTGTGCTGGATGACACTGTCATTCAGATCTGAACCAAGCAGGGTCCCCTCTGGGCCTCAGGGTCCTGAAAGAGCTCTGGAGCGAGCCACCAGTGGCACTGGTGACCTTGTGCTGGCAGAGGTGGGGAACAAGCCCCACTGTGTCCATCCAATAGTCTGGAATACAGAACTGGATCATGAACTCGCCCATAAGGGTATCTCAGTGTGGGGAACAGGCATGTGCCCAGGCAGGCAGGAGGGACTTTGCTGTCCTGTCCTCTGGCCTCCTCTTCAGCTCACTTTCCTAGTCTGACCCATGTTTTCATATTCTTCTTTATCTATTCCTTGGCTGTAGTTATGCAATTTGTTTTTTTGCTTCCTGAGTTTCAGCGCAGTGAGTAGTTCAGGAATCAGCTGTTTTGGTTGTTTGCTGTGTTTCCATGCCTTCCTTTGCACCTGTATGCTCAAGATGGTTTCTGTAAGGAAGTGTCAGCAGCCCTCCTCTCTCTGTCCCCCTTAACCCCTGGGATGTCCCCTCCTGGTTCTCCGAGGCCATGGCAGACATCTCCCAAGCCCACTGCCTTTCTCTTGCCACTCTCCTGCCACTCAGAGCTGTGAACTCTCACAGCTGCTCTCACCCAAGGTGCCTCCCACTTCCAGTTTGCAAGGATCCTACATCAAATCCATGCAGCTTGAAGCTAACAGATGTTTTGCCATCCCATCAGCTCACTAAGAAATTGAGATTCGGATTTTTTTTTTTTTCCATTGCTTGTACCGCCCGTACCAAAGGTTCTCTGGGATAAAATCTGACTTCACTGAACCCCTGCTCAGCCCTTTGCTGAGTCCTTCTGTAAAGGCCTGGTCATGCCATTTTCCTGCAGATGCTGTTTTAGGATGCAGAGTTAAAAATCAGTAACCTCAACAATCCTTGATATCACGAATTTGTCTGATTACACTGAGTCTTTCTCCAGGTCTCTTGGAGATGTTTTCCACAGAAAATGTGCTACCTGGCCACGCTTCCCCACAGTTTACTGAAGAGCTAGAGTTCCTCTTTATACCTTACCTCAGACAGCTGGGAAGAACAGTCACGCTCACAAAGAACCACTGTTATTTTCCCAGAGGGGAGCCTGAGTTCTGTGGCGAGACCAATCCATGATGATTATCCCTTCCTGGCCATATAAGAGGAGGTAAAGCACACAGAGAGTCTTTCATGGCTGCATGGCTGCACAAAGGAAGGACCAGGCTGTGTGCAGCTCCAGGGCTGAAAAACCTTCCTGTTTCTCTACAGCAGTGTGGAACCTGCTGGGGAGCACCCCCTGCCCCTGTGGCCCATGTGCATCAGCAATCCAGGCAGGGCCAGTCCTTCCCAGGGTGTCCCAGCCCACGTCCTCACTGGCTGGGAAGTGAGGATTAGAAATCCTCTCTTCCCACCCCTGCCACCATTCCTCCATTTCCAGGATGGAAAGGAAGGGTGTAAAAGGGAAAAGAGCCAGTCTCTTTTCTGTGCCCATTGGAGCACGGCTGCTCCGTGGCCTGTGCCAGGCTCTGCACGTGTGTTAAGGGTAGGATGCGCTTTTTGACGATTCTGCAGAAAATGCATCCTGCTAGCTCCCTCCTCTGTAGCCAGCCCAGCTCTGCAGAGCTGTGAGTCATGCCAGGCAGCAGGATTTTATTCCTGTCATTACCACATCAGCTCAGGCTGATGCACAGGGGAGCTGGTGGGTTGAGTAAGGAGGTGCCATTTTTACACGGTCGCTCTCCAGGCAGGAGCCGGACTTTTCTCACACTATTTTTTTACAGTGTCTCAGCAAATAAAACTCTGAGTGCAGAGGGTCAGGGCATGCTGCATATCAATGAGGGGGTTGTACAGCAGTCACTGCACTCTCTTGTCTCCCGCTATCCCCTATGGAAAGCTGGAGCTCAGCGCTGGCATGTCTTGCTGCAGAGGTCTCCAGAAAGACACACAAGTCAGCAGGGGGAAGGAAGGTCCTTGAGCTGTCAGCAGAGGAGGTGGGATGGCACAAAGGGACTGTTGGATGGAAGCTGGATTTGGAAAGCTGTGCCTGACCACTGGCCTTTGATAAGACACAACCAGAGATCCCAAGGAAGATGGGAGAAGTAAGAACCTGCTTGTCCAAATCCAGCCACCCTCCAGCAGAAAACAGCGTGGTAAAAGCAGGATCCCACCCTGGTCTTATCCAACAGCTGGGGAGTCTTGTTCTGCTGCCCTGACCACGTGGATCTCCCTTCTGAGTTTATAAAACTAAAAGTTTGTTGTCTAAGTGATAACACTAAGCTGCTGTCTAAGTGACAACAGTTCTTTGTCAAAGTGATCTGATCTCCCCAGTAAAGGAAGGGAGATCTCTCTTCACAGACCAGTTTGTCCCAGCAGAAGAAACTGGACAGCTCCAGCTCTGGCTGTAAAGGGAGCTCAGACTCCAAGCTGTGGTTTAGGCAAGGAGCTCTGAGGTGTGAGAAGCCAGCTGGGATAACTCACAGTTCTGGGGAGCATGGGGCAGACCAGTCCCCCTTTGCTCCATGCCACAGCTGTCCCTGAACCAGTGTTTGGCCACACTTCACTCAAGAGGGAAGAAAAAAAAGAAAATACTATCTGCTGAGCAAATCCAGTATCTTCAGGCTTCCTAAAGGGTCTCCCCCATGCCCTGTGTTTCCATGTTGAGTCTGGTGTGAGATGAGGACCAGCCCATTTTTGGGCCCATTGTGTGAGATTCTCACACCTTTCAAGCTGACTGAGAACATGCCTAAATCAGGGTAAATCAGTTACCCTGTGATCTACAAACACAATTTCTACCTTTTGCACAAACAAGGTCTCTAAAGGGGCTGAACTCCAAGAGAGGACCAAGGCAAGGGGACAATAAAGGAAAAGGATGCACACAAGATTTGTTACTGAACAAAAAGGAAACCAATGCCTTCTTCCATCCACATCCATCACACAAGGAAATGTTGATGGGGAGTGACCACTGAAGATTTCTAGTCCAATCTGCTCAGAGCAGGCCAGTGCTATGCCAGATCAGCTGTGGTTTGTCCTAACTTCTTCTTGAGAGCCCCACTCCTCTGGTGACCTGTCCAGAGAAGAAACACCCACATAGATAAAACATTTTTTAACCAGAATTTCTCAAGCCCAGCTTGTGGCCATGGTTATTTTTCTTAACCTGTCACTGACTGATCAGCTTCTCACCTCCACAGGACCACATCACACGGGGATGGGAGGGAAGGTGTCACTAAAGGTGTCACTCTGAGTGTGTCCCCATCAGCGTGTCCACAGAGAGGGGCTTCAGTGAGGTCTTTAGGAAGCTCTCAGAGAAAAGCCTGCACTGACAGCCTCAGCACTCAGGCAGCTGGGAGCTATGTCCTGACTGCAGACATTAGAAATGCACAAATACTGAGTGGGAGAGGCTCCAACAGGCAGCGTAAGCAAATTGTTCCTGGCAGGACCTGACCATCTAGCAGTGCCACTTGAGCCCTGTCCAGTTTGCCTCTATCTGGGAAGAAATTGTCAAAACCCAGTGCAGCTGCTAAGCAGGATCTCCAAGTTACCTGCAGCTGGAAGAGTTTTGATGCTGATGGTGATGCCTTAAGTTTTAGCTTTGATATTTTCCAGATTCTGTACTGCCTTAGTGTGTGGCTCTAAATAAAGTGTTAGTAAGTTCTCCTCTCTGTTTAGTCAGACAAAACAATCCTTTTCCAGCCCCAGAGCCAAGGGCACCATTGCAGCTCAAGGCTCAAAAAGCACAAACAGCAGCAAATTGAGGAGAGCAGACTGGGAGGATGGGACTTCATCACCTGAAGCTGTAATTGGACAATAAACCCCAATATCTAAATGGACCAAAACTTATAAAAGTGTGAAAACTCGTGACTGCTCTTCCATCTTGAGTCCATCTGGGGTGCAACTTGGGCAGAACCACGGCCACACTCTTGGACTGCCCAAGGTGTATCCTTGGAAGGCCTTTTTAATAAATATCTACTTTATTCCTTTAAATCTGGCCTCCATTCCAGGTAGCCTCCTTAGGCATGACTGGCACTGAAATCAGGAGTTTTCGCTTTGGTGGAGAGAGCTAATCGATGTTTTAATTGAGAGATTAAGATATCCCACTGCCAGGGGCTGGAGATGGCAGAAGCCCTTTCTTCAGAATGTGGAGGAGGCCCCCACACTCTGGGGCCAGGTGTGCACATACAGACCAAAGAGTGACTCCAGACATGTCCCCTCTGCTTATAGCACAACACATGGACATTCTCCACCCTCCTGGCCCATGGCAAGAAGCTGCTTTGTGCAGGATATTTGAAGCCACGTGCAGGTGGTTATTATTTGGGGAGACTGAGGGAATGCAAACACTTTCTTACCTATTGGCAGGAACAAGATCATCTCTGTCCAGAGGCACTGGGTAGAACTGGAGGTACCTGAGTAATCAGAGAATGATGGAATCACAGAATGGTTTGTGTTGGAAGGGACCTTAAAGATGATCCCATTCCAGCCCCTGCCATGGGCAGGGACACCTTCCCCTATCCCAGGTTGCTCCAAGCCCTGTCCAACCTGGCCTTGGACACTTCCAGGGATGGGGCAGCCACAGCTGCTCTGGGCACCCTGTGCCAGGGCCTCACCACCCTCACAGGGAAGAATTTCTCCCTAATATTTAATTTAAACCTACTCTCAGTTTGAAGCCGTTCCTCTTTGTCCAAACAATAACAGTCACAAGGAGTTCATCAGCTTCTTCAAATCAGCTTTCCTGAGATGAAAAATGGTTGGGATGGTTGCCTGTGAACCCACCCAAGGTCTTCCTGGAAATTACAAGCCCCTTGATTTTTGTTTGCTAACACATTGTCTATTTTTACTGAAACCTTCTCCAAAACTGTTCAAAACTTGTCATCGACCAAAAGCATTCTGTTTAAATACAGTTTCCGAAAAAAAGTGAATGCTCATAATTCTGCAGAATATGGCAAATGTCAAATTGAATTAATGCCAACTTCACTTATTTATTAAAAAGGGACAATCTTTCCATTTAAGTAAGTCCCTATCAAATATTTTGGCCAGCTCCCCTAACCGTGGCTTTAATTGTGATCCACTTGTCCCACTGGAGCCCGTCAAATTAACAGAGGTGAGGACACAGAACAGAAATTGCTTGGGAGTGAAATCAAGGGCAGATGAGGAATTCCCTACCCCCATGACAGAAACCCACCCATTGCCAAGGAAAGCTCATTGCTCAGACTTCAAACACTCCAGCTTGTGCTTAATTTGGATACCACGGTTCTCCTGCTAGGATGAAAAAGTGCCAGTCTTACTCCAGGCAGAAAAAAATTGGGGGCTCAGCAGAGCTGCCAGGCCCCATCTTTGCAGAGGAGCAATGCCACCCTCGAGAGCAGCGATGGCAGCCGGCTCGGATGGACGGTGGGGAGTTGGGTATGGGTGGGAGGAGGTCTTTCTTTACTCACTGGGGAGTCAGTCTGGCTTTCTTTCACCTTAAAACGGGAGTTCTCACTCCAGAGCACAGCCCAGTGGCATTAATAATCTGTGAGGTCTCAGCAGCAGTGGACAGGATAATGAGAGGTGATGGCTGCAGGTGGAATCTGCAGGTTGGATATTAGGTAAAAATGCCTTCCCTTGGTGGGTGGTGCAGCCCTGGCTTGGGTCACAGAGGTGTGGGATTCTCAAGGCTTGGCCAAACAAAGCCACTTCTGACTGCCAACAGGACCAGAGACCTCCCAGGAGATGGACTCTCTTTCCCTGCTTTATTTCACATCCCAGTCTGGCAGACTGTGCCATTATCTGTCCCACTGAGCTCAGGTGTAGCATCCTCTGCAGAGAGCTCCTGTGGGCAGGCAGGCCTTGCTAAAAACACTGAGCCATTTCTGTGCAACCATTTTTGGGGGGAAGGTGAGCACATACAGGCACAGGCAGCATTTCCAGCCTACAGCCTCTGTCCTCATAAAGCTTTGCAGAAATACCTTTCTTCCCAGGTCAGCTGATGTTGACACAGCTGGATGGGCTGTTGATGAACCTTCTTCACCTCAGGGCAGCTCAGGGCCAAGGAGTGAAGGCAGACCCCTCTTGGACCTCATTCCAGATCCTTCTGAGGCCTCAGCCCCTCTCAAAACTCAGTCCTGACCCCTCTGGGAGCTCAGGCCCCACTCAGGCTCCCAGGCTGGCTGGTTTGATTGTGCTCTACCTTCAAACAAGGACAAATGAGGCAGAATTCAGAGAAGAGCAACGGGAATGATTACGGGGGTGGAGGTAATGGCTGAGGAGGAAAGATTTTGAAATTTAAAGATGGATAGCCAGGCTACAAGCCTACATACAGAGACATTATCATCAGTCATTAAGCAACACAACAAGTCAGAGCCAGGGCAGGCTCATGATTCAAGACAGCCCAGTTTCCAAAGTGCTGCAGCCCAGAGGAGCAGCACAAGGCCAGGCGGAAGGAGCCCGCTCAGGCTTGTGAGCGTGAGCATTTATTTTAATTCTTTTCTTTCAAGGCAACACCTCACAGTATGAAGTGAAATCCTGTTTGGCACCAGGCAGCACCAGAGGGGCACCAGGGAAAGCCTCTTAGCACCAGGGCTTGATGATCTTGGAGGTCTTTTCCAACCTTGGTGGCTCTGTGATTCTATGACTTTGTGATTCTATGACTCGATGATTCCATGATTCTGTGATTCTGTGGCTCTGTGGTTCTATGATTCCATGTTCAGGGAGGGTATGAAGAAGCTGGAATTTTCTTGGCATGGCACTGATCAGCCAGAGAAAGTGCCAGAGCCCCACTGCTCGGGATACTGAAGTTAGACCGGACAAAGCATCACCAGTGCTGAGGAATGGCCAGTGGCCAGCAGATGGACAGAGCAATCAGAGGAAGGCTTCCCCAGCACAGATTTGCAGGAGAGGGGTGAGCTTTGCCTCTGGTGTAACCCCAGTCTCCCTGGAGAGGTGGCCAAGCCCTCCCCACACCTTCACCTTCACCCAGGGGAGCGTTGGGCTTTGATCACAAAGTGCTCTCACAAAGTTTGCAAACCCCAAATGCCACACTGTGAGATGGGGAGGGAGCGAGGGAGGGGAGAAAGGGGAGTGATTAATGTGCAGCTGGTGCATGGCCTGGGAGAAAGGAGCCGCCGATGACCACCCGGAGCTGGCACTTAGAAACCCACAAAAAACGCTGAAGGGATGGCTGGATGCACGGCCCAGCAAATCAAAGCAATAAATAATATAATAAATAAATAATCTGTGGCCAGTGGAACCAGCAGCCAACAATGACAGCAGAGCCCATGGGCTGGGGGACACGTGGTTGGCACAGAGAAGGGAGGAGGCCAGAGAGAAGCACAGATGAGCTCTACGAGGGGAATCAAAGGCCTGCTGTTCTGAGAGCAGAACAAACAGAGCTCCTGCCACACGTGGCATTGACAGCAGGAGCTGTGTGGCCCTCCGTGTCCCTCCAGGCTGCTTCCAGGCTCAGCACAGGATCCTCCATCCTCCCTCCTGCCTTCCCCCAGGGAGAGCGGCCCTCAGTCACACACTGCTGGAGAGAACTCAGGGGTCTGCTCTTCCAAAGTGATCCTGAAGCCAGAACTCTGTCTTCTGGCATCCAAGCCCTTCCCACAACAAGGGAAGGAGATCATCCTTTCCTCACCCATCATGGTTTGTGGGCTTGGTCACCTGGGACGAGGGCTGCACCAGCTCGTGGCTGACAGGTTAGCTTGTGTGAAGACCTGAGAAGGGAAGGAAAGCTCCACACTGCTGAGGGCCCCTTGCCCTGTTGGGACACCGAGCTGTGGGTTAGCACAGCCACTGTCACCATGAACCTGGTGACAGTGCTCCTGTGGAGAGGAGAGATGATTTTGTGGCCAAGGACACAGGCCAGAAACTCTCGCGTCAGTGACATGCTCAGTGTGTCTCTGTAGGACATGTGAGCAGATTAGAAATGGATAGTAAGTGTTTGAGATTCATATCAAACACCTGGGACAGCAGTTTTGAGTGCCTGGTCAGGAACATTTGTAGTTTGAACACCTCACCCCTACCTTCATTTACAGGACTGCAAAGGCCCTGAGTTACTGGTTTCCTTGCACCAAAGCAGAAGCTGAGCATCTCTGCAGTAACAAAATCTCCAGGAGCAGTAAACCTGCCTTGAACAACTCAGGCCCTTTCAAGAAGGAAAAGAACCAAACCCATAAATCCAGCTGAAAACTCCCTTTTGACTCCTGGCATCTCCTCCATTTGCGGCCTCCCTTGCGAAAGACAATAAAAGAAAATTTTGCAAAGGGTAGGGTGGCGAATTTTTTGAGATCCTTCTTGCTTCTCCCAATGCACAGCCCAATTTAGAGGCATGTTGCTTCATCTGCCCAGCTCCTCACAGTCCACCTGTAGAGCAAGGCAGGCCCTGCAGTGCTGTAACAAGCCATCAGACAGCCAGTCAGTCACACCAGTGATCAGTGCTGCGCACACAGCGGCTGCCGCCCCACCAGCCAGTCCCCACAGTGTCTGCCTGGGCACCAAAGGATATTTAAGGGGTAAAAATTAAATTCTCAACCTGAGGAACTTAAAGATGGATAGCCAGGCTACAAGCCTACATACAGAGACATTATCATCAGTCATTAAGCAACACAACAATTCAGAGCCAGGGCAGGCTCATGATTCAAGACAGCCCAGTTTCCAAAGTGCTGTAGCCCGGAGGAGCATCACAAGGCTCCAGCTCCTCTCCAGCTGCCTCTTCCTGCTGATGTATCCCGGGGATGCCACGGCCATGTCAGCAAGGGCCCCTCCAGCTCAGCTCTCTGGGCTGTCTAAAAGCTCTCCTCTCATCAGCTCACCAGCACCCAGTCCCCAGGAAGCCAAAATCAGACTGCAGAATGTGCTGGAAGCAGGAATCTCTGTCCATGCCCCTGCCTTTGGCCTCCTTAAGCCCTGTGATGACTGATGCTGTGATCCAGGATCTCAGTCCAGGAGCCTGGCTATACAGGGCAAGCTGCTCGTCAGTGCTGTCCTGCTGCTCTCTCCTCTTCCATTTGTTGTGTCCCATCCTCAGTGTGTGTTGGATACAGGGAGCAGCTCCAGAGTTCCCTGTGTTGGATACAGAGAACAGCTCCAGAGCTCCCTGTATTGGATACAGGGAGCAGCTCCAGAGTTCCCTGTGTTGGATACAGAGAGCAGCTCCAGAGCTCCCTGTGTTGGATACAGGGAGCAGATCCAGAGCTCCCTGTGTTGGATACAGGGAGCAGCTCCAGAGTTCCCTCTTGGTTCCAGTGAAGATCCCCTCTGTGGCCAATCCCTCACACTCTAGATGAGGACAGCTTTAGAAACTGCATCAGGAGATGTTTTTATTTCTTCTCCAGCCTGAAGCCCTTGAAAAGTGTCGCCCACAGGCTTAAGCTCTTCTCAGCAAGACACAAACTAACTAAAATATATCAAAGCAAGATTCTCATCTACGCCCCCAAACCTTCCAAACATCCAAAGCCTTGCATTAAAACCAGCCTAACCAGCCATCTCTTGATGCCCAAAAACAAGGCTTTTCTGGAAGGGAAGCCTTGGCTCTCTTCAGATTACTGGCCATTGTGCAGGGGTGAGTGGAGCCTCTGGACCATGCCACTCCAAATGATCTAATTGTTTCTTCTGGCCTTAAAAGTCATTTATCAAAACCACACCGACCCTGTACCGGGCCAGCAAAGCTTCTGCTATAGATTTGGCAGCAAGATGTCCAGATCTACAGTAGCCATCGACACCATCATGATGGATCTGCTGAAGAAAGCTTGGGTAAAGGAGGGGTCCATATATAAATATGTGCAGACTTCAGTAAGTGATAAATCAGTTGAGAACCCCTTAGTGTTTAGAGAAAACCAAGCTATGTTATCGTCAATCAATCTGTTGCTGAAAATATTATTAATGCCTGGCACATAGATTTATGATGAAGGCTAGATGGATGCAAAGGAAACGTTTGTTAGTGGGTATTTTTTGATGACTGTGCTGAAATATCATTCATTTGTGAAATCTAAATACAATCATCTTGGTTATTTATCAAGGAACAGAATCATCTTCATCTATGAGATTCCACCTTAAAATTCAGGACACCTGCAGGATTCTCCCGTCTCTCTTTTTGTCTTAAATGCTCACAAGTTAAAAGCAGGTACCTGTAAACAGCATCATCACATCATTCCCAGCACAACGGGAGATGCTGGGCCTTGGTCGGTGTTCAGAACCTAATGGCACAAAGTCAGCGTGTCAGATGTCACCTCAGTGATGTCTCCTGAGTGTCTCTGTGCAGGGATGGACACATGAGGAGGGAAAAAGTCCCTTCTGTAGACTTGGTTACGCACAGGGGATATGGAGCTCAGAGGAATTATAACAGAAATCTAGAGAAGGTGCAAAGGGAGGACAGTTTGGACCAGTACGAGCCTCTCTGGCCCTGCTCGTAGGTTTGTGGATGGGTGCTGAACCAACAGCTTCCAAAAGTGGTGTAAGTCCCAACTCCTCCTCACCCCAGCCCTGCTGGCCATGTTTCCACTTTGCCATCACCAGCTCCTGCCTTCCCCAAGAAGATTCCTGAGCTGCTGCTAGACCCTGGTGGGGTCATTCCTCCTCAGCCAGCTGGCAGAGGTGTGGAAGAGGCACGCTTTGACACTGTGGGATCTTCCCCAGAAGTGCACAGGAGAGTGTCAGGTCCCATGGGATACTGGCTCCAGCCTTCCCAACACCTCCATGAACATGTCTAAACACAGGCTTGGATGGAACCAACATGAGATGAGTTACTGTCTCCACAGCAGGAGGAGCTCACGGGGGGCACAGCCCTTCACCACACCGAGCAGAGCAGCTCTGGGACCGGCACCCCAGCACCAGCCCTGCCCCTCCAGCCCCAGCCCCAGGCTGCCTGGGCCAGCTCTCTGAGCTCCCTCGCTTCCCTTTACTGCTGTTTTTGTTTTCTTTCCACAGCTCGTTTTCTCGGTCATCCATGTCTCTGTGCACCATATATCACGCCTATGTGTCCGGAGGAAAGAAAGATCCCCTCCAACCCAGCAGCCCTGTAACGGATGGACCTTCCCGATTCGCAGCGAGCTGACAGCTTGTGAGAACAACAGCTTGAATTACTGAAAGAACTTTTCCCACTGAGTTAATCTGCAATGGATGTAGGTGACCTTCTAAAGGCATCTATTAATCAAAAAACCAGTGCCCATTCACTGTGCTAGGCTGAGCCCTTTGGGGGAGGGGGAGATACTAATTTCCCTCTGAGATAAATCATAATTTGACAATAATCATCTGCCCTAATCACTCCGATTCTTCCCTTTAATTATTTGTACACACGGCTCTTCCTGCCTGAGAAACACAAAGGACAACATTAAATGTGGAAATGCTGAAGCCTCCAGCCACAGCCTTGAATCCCTGTGTGCAGCAGGGCACCCAAAAGAGCAGAGCTGACAGGGTGCACCCTCCTCCCAAGGTGCAGGGAGCAGCTTTTCCCACTGCTGCCAGCCAAAGGGGGAACACTGGTCCCAGCCCAGGGACCAGAGCATCAAGGAGAAGGCTGCTGGAGGGGATAGCAGAGAGCAGAGGGGCTCTAGAGGTGACCCAGCACCCAGGGTGAACCCTGAATGGAAGATGCTGACCCCCACACA